GCACAACACCTGTCGAGATTTGAGTACCCTTTCTGCCCCAGGCCTTTACTGGCTCTGCGGAAACAGGGCTCATAAAATCTTGCCCTGGAATTGGGTGGGGGCATGCACTCTTGGACGTGTTATCCCTGGTTTTGAAATGCATAGTACAATATATCTGGAACAAGTAAAAAATTTCAACCATCACATGAAAAGGGCGGTTAACCCCTTAGCTACCAGAAACACAGGGTTCCATCAATTTGTGAGAACCTTCATACCGTGGCTTGGAGTAAGAGAATTGGAACTAGCCATAATTAACATTTCAGCCACAATGGAAGCTATGGGAAATGCCACTGCGGATGCAATTCAGGCTCTGCAAGAAGAGATCTCCCAGATCTCACAAGTAACTATACAACACCGCGTAGCCCTAGATTACCTATTGGTATCCCAGGGAGGAGTATGTGCCTTAGTAAACTCCACCTGTTGTGTCTATGTCAATCAGGACATGCGAATTGAAACTGACATTCGTAAAATCCGAAGTCAGTTAAGGGTCTTACATCAAGTGGCCTCAGAGAATACTGACTGGGGTCTAAAGGAAATGTGGTCTTGGCTAACCTCCTGGCTCCCAGATTTCGGGGCCCTTGGCAAGAAAATCCTGTATGGAATATTGTTTGTCGTGATAGTTCTGATAATGTTTTATGTCTTAGTGCAACTGATCCTCTGCTGCGTGAAAGCCAGCAGGAGAAGCTTTAGCAAGGCAAGAAAACCCACAGCAGAGTCTAGAATAATGGTATTACAAAAGTGTGAGCAGATTAAAAGAAAACATGAAAGGCTGCATGATGAAATAGAGGGGCTCATGAGAATAAAAATTTAAGGGTAAAGTGAGACTAAATAGTCTCAAAGGGGGGGAACTGTGAAATCAGAAAAAATATGCGCCTTAAACTTTGACTATTTTAGTTATAAGATGACATAACCGCTTTGTGGAGAATTGCTGGCTCTGTATAGTAGAACAGATAAGAGAAAGTGTTTGTTCTTTGTAACTCCTCTGCAACTGCTTCGCTCACCGCGGCCTTAAAGATAGCAAAAAGTATGTACAACTCTGATTTGCAGGTGCAAGAAGGAGGTTTGTGAACTAACCTCGCCTCCCCCATTAGTTCCCATCCTGATTACAGCAAAGAAATAATGAAATAATGTTATAGCCGCTTTTCATGCTAATTTCACTATATGATCACGTGAGTTATAAGCAACTGTTAAAAAGTATATAAGCCTCCTGATTTTGCTCTTGGGGGGGACCCCTTCCAAGTGCTTGAGAGATCCATGTCACTTTGGAGTCCCCCCTACAGCTGTAGTTTCTTTTAAATAAAAGCTTCTGCTGACCTGACCCAAAAATATGCTTCGTGTGTTTCCACGACATCACAGAGACAGACAATAGACTGGGATGATCCTCTCTTGTGGGAATATAAGAAAAGGTCCCCACAGAAAAGGGCAGAAGTGTTTCTAGAATAGAGAGGAGCTCTGCTCCACTCAGTTCCTGCAGGAGATGGCTGAGCCTAAGATGCAGACACTGTTACTAGGCTTGGAGAAAAGGCAAGAGTAGAGATAAACTAGACTAAGACCAAGTAGGCTGGAAGGAAGGGTGGTCCTAGTGAAAGCTTACTGGAAGGACTAAGAAAATGTTCCAAGTAAAAATATTGTAAGAGGTGAGCTGGCTGTTAAGAAGAAATAGGAGGCCACACTTAAAGAAACCCAAAGAAATTGTGGCTGTGAGTGGTTCTGTTTCCCTGCAAGCAAGGCCCAGCCAGTGACTCACTCCTTGAGTTAACACTAAGGTGAATCAGGTTGGGAAACTGAAAAACAGAGACCTGGTTTGTGTGGGGACCATAAGGACTGCACCTCACCTGAAAAAGAGGGCAGCAATGCACAATTACAAGAGGTAATAGAATGGCTAACTGTGTGCAATGGCAAAAGTACCACTTCTGTGGCTAGGATACCTCCATTTAGCTGCACAAAGCGAAGTATAATTCTTCCTGATATGTTTAAAAATATCTAAAATGTGTTAAAAACTTACTGTAGGTTGGACAAGAAAGTTGCTATAGCTGGCTGACATAGCAGTTCTCAGCTAGCTGATGCCTCTAGTTAAGGGCAAGATACAGACATTGAAAAAGCCCAAGGCAGAATTGATTTAAGTTACATGGTTTTCTGTAAGTGGCATAGGGTAGATTGGTAGTAAATAAAACACACATTCACCCTTTGGTGAGGGGTGCAAATCTTAAACTGGGTTCTACCATTTTTAAGTCAGTCTGTGTGCACCAAACTTCTGCTCTGTTATGGGCATAGACTGGTTTTGTGTGCCGAACTTCTTTCTGTTGTAGGTATAGACTGGTTTCTGATCACTTATACTGGTAAAAGTGTAATGTCTATATCTGGCCAAGGTTTCCTGACACATTCCATTTAAAGCCTTAATTTTCATTACTTAAAAAGTTGCCAAAATTTAATGATTTAGGCTGATATTTTCTATTGTGGGGGTCTGCCTCTGGCTGAATTTTTTGGGAAAGCTCCTGCTAAAATAGGTGATTTAAAAAAGAAAATGAGATTAGTTTCTTTGCCCATCTTATAAAATGTTGCAGCCATTTCAAGGGGAAGCTCTAGCATCTTTTAAGCTTTGCAGTGGGGTGCTTGAAATCTGATGGGGGTGCTTTTTCAGGGGAAATCACATCACCTAATATTTTCAAAGGTGACCCTGGCTAGGATGCTATGTAATAATTATTTCCTAGAACCACTCAATGAGTGACCAGGGTAAAAAGAAATATTGAATAAAACCCCTCCCCCACTTTTTTTCTGGGTACACAATGGGTGCATCTACACCAGACTCTTTACTCAAGATTAGAGCAAATTACTGCACAGTTAGCATCACCATCTATATGCTTACTGCACAGTAATTTGCTCTAATCGCAAGTAAATTTGCTTCCTGTAAATACAAATAGCAAATTTACTTGGGAGTAATTACTGCACAGTACAGCACATGTAGACAGCCAACTGGGAGCACATTGGTTAGCTGGGCAGCAGGGGACTGCTTCCTGACCCTGGGAGCTCCCTGCTGCCAGTGTGGACTCCCTTTGTTTCCTTGCTCCAGCAGCAGGGAGCTCCCAGCCCCTGGTCTGCAATCACGGAGTGTGGGCTAGAAGCTCCTTGCCGCTGGGGCAGGCGGACATTGTCCCCGCCCGGGCTTCAGTGGTGGAGCCTTACCCAGAAGCAGGCAGCGTCCTGGGGCAGGGAGCAATTTCCCAGCCCTTGCCAGGAGACAGCTGTCTCCTGGCCCCATGCTCCCTGCCAGCCCCTGGACTAGCACCTAGGGGGAGCCTAGAGCTCTCCCCCTGGCTGCTACAGAGAGCCAGTGCAGGGCCAGTGGGGATGGGAGCAGATTGCTGCCATGAGCAGCAAATCTGCTCTTGCTTCCTTGAATGTATAGATACCTAACTAGGGTGGGTATGCTCTAGAGTAAATCCATCCCGGAGGATTTGCTTGCTCGTTCACCCCCAGTGAAGCAGAGATCAGGTGGAAAAATGTGTATATGATCATGCAATTAAAGATGTACCAAGCCAATGCCTAAGAGAGTTAAATTAAAATTGCACAGTATCCTTAATTCTAGTATTTCATAACTTTTGACTGCTTGACTTTGAAACCCAATTTTTTTTTTAATGTAAAAAAATGTAATGCAAATAGAGTCAAATTTTCAGCTGTAGGTGATTCCACAAAAATGTGCTACTAACCACTGTGGCTGCAACGTTCTGTATTTCCATATGCCAACAGTCATTTGTGTGACTACTTGTAAAAAACAAAGGTAGGAATATATTCATTTCCGACAGTGCATCTGTTGCTTTTAAGCCACTCAGTAGAAAGCCCCTAGTTCAGACTTTTCAGGCTTTAAATGTTTTTAAATGTTTAAATGTTTTTAAATTTAAGCTGTAATAATACCAAATTAATACAAAGTAAATTGGTACTGCTGTAAAGGTACCTTTTTTCTCTGGTTGTCCAGATATCACTACTCACTATCCTCATTTGTTCTCTGCACTGGTTGTTCAGTTATTACTACTCACTATCCTTATGTGTTCTCTGCACCTTGGCTTACGGCATTGTCTTTTAAAGTTTGATCTTGAAAAGACAAGAGCACCAGCTCTGAGGTACTGCCTTCTATGTAATAGCTTCAATTAGAATGAGAATGTTTGGTATCTCATAAGCGAGGTCACCTGCTTTGCAGTATCAGGCAGTGTGTATATAATATTGATACTTCTCTGGCCTAACAGACTATCACAGTATAGACTGTATGCTATTTTTCATGTATTTTCAGCACAAAGAATATGATTTTTTCAGACAGGACATAAAGATGTGTTTAATAATTTTGTACAGGCAGATCAGATTTTTACCTCTTTTCTATGAAGTACAAACTGTTGCATAGACTGTGTACTCCATTAATGAAGAAAAAATGGAGCTTGTGAAATAAAAGAGCATTTGGACATAAAAATAGGCCCTTTTGGACAAGCAGTGGAATGAGCACAGGATCAGCAGTACATTTTCCTGAGACTTATTCAATAAAATCAAATAAAATCAATAAAATCAAGAGGTTCAATAAACCTCTTGATTCAATAAATCAATAAAATCAAGAGGAGATTGGGCAGGCATCTGGCTGGGGTTACCTAACCCCAGCACTCTTCTCTGCCTGGATCAGGAGGTCAGACTTGATCTACCAGTTCCCTTCCAACTCCAGAAATCTATGAAATCTATCTATGAAATCTATGAAAATACTTATTTGATCTTTGGCTACAGTAGAAAGCCAAAGGTAAAGTTAATGCAGGTAACAACATTCAAATTCAAATCTTTTCCACTTTTGCTTTTTGCCCTCTTCTTCAGAAAATGCATTTTAGCATAGAATAGTCAGCTTAAGGTTTGAGGATTGCTGAACATTATCAGAAATTGGTTCTGTATTTCTTTAGAAGTATAAAAATTATTTTTAGTTTGTACAGTACCTGTGCAAGGTTCCTAAGTGTGTCTCTGAAATGGCCTGAAGTCTCCGAATAAATATCTTGCTGAAGATCACTATTGTACTCTATGGTGAAAACAAGCTTGAATTAAATTTCCAGTTAGTACTACACTTAAATATGCTCTAGAAAATGTTGACTGCGATTCAGAAATAGGCATGAATAAATAGGGAAAAATTACATGCAATGTGTTGACCTTTGTCAATTTTTCAACATCATTAGGATAGTAACTTACAGATCACATTGGGCGGGACTTCAAAGGTATTTATGTGCTTAAAAATGTAAATAGGTGCCCTATGGGATTTTCAAAACTGCTAAAGCAGTTTCACTAATTCACTAACCTGCTTAGGCACTTTTGCGAATTTAACATGGCTCCTGTCTGCATCCTCAGGAAAGGGAATTTAAATACCCTTGAAGAACTGGCCTGAAGTCCTGAAGCCCTGGCAAGAGCCTTCAGTGGGTGTTTTACCTGAGTAGTACATCTATAGGAGCATGCCTAAAATGCTAATTAGTATAAAACCTGTGAGATAGTTATTAAGCAGCCCCAAAAAGTCTACTTTTCTTATAGACATATATATAAAAAAAATAGCAGTTGCTGGCTGTGAAGAATTTCAAATGTGTCAGGCAATGCTCAGTGTCTAAAAATAATGATGAATATTTTAAAATTGATTTCTACTTTTAGCTTCAGAGTCTTTGGCACAATTTTCATGAAGCAACAAGAAAAGAGGGAAAATATTTATCTTTCAGATCTCATCTTTTGAAGTCACATTCACGCTGTTGTGTCCAGAGCACAATTAGTCCAAATTCTCCCTTGCTGTTATGTACTTTCAAAAAAAGAAAAAAAATTACGCATTGAGTAGGCCTCTTTCATCTGGAAGATCTCCATATTTGATCTTGAGGCTAATATATCAATTAGACAGTTTTCTTCTGTGCCTGCCCCCTGCCAGGAAGAGAAACAAACAAGGTGAGACATTACTAGTAGAAATAATGCTACTCAATTCAATGTAGTACATCTATCAAGAGTAGTGAAAAATGCTAGTTTTTATTAAAAGAGACTTTTTCTGAGTGATTTTTCTGTGAATGGAGGTACTGATTTCCCTCCTTTCAAAGGATTTGTGGACATTATGAAGTGTCTGCTGTTATAGCTATGCTGGCATACCTATGTCAACAGAGTCTCCTAGTAGAGATGTAGCATCTGATGGTGGAAAGAGGTTTTTTTCCGTGAATTCTAGTTATGTCAGCTTCATGGACAACAGAAGCTGAGTGGGTAGAAGCCTCCATCTGCCAGAAGAGCTTTCCTTACAACTGGGGTTTTGTTGGTATAACTATGTCAGCTAGCAGAGGGTGCTCTTTTAATTCCCCAGCCTACAGAGCTATGCTAGCAAATTTTGTAGTGTAAGTCAATTTTGCAAGCACATGCATTCATAATTTTCATTTTAATTTCAATATCCCCATTATTAAGGCAGTATGGTGAGTCAGGCTGTGCCCAGCCACTAAGGAAAATGCACTGGGATGAATTTCACCTTTAGTGATAAATGAAGCCCTGGCAGGCATTTAAGGAGCTGGTAAGGAAACAAATGCAAACATCAAGCATGTAGTCTGTACTGATACTAAGGGTTTAGAACAATGGTGCTTAATCTTTTTAGACTCAAGACATCCATTTTTAGACTGAAGGCACCCCTCAGAAAATGCCAGCTCTTTGCTTTCACTCATTTTTTACTACAGAAAAATAACAGAGCAGTTTATCTGTTGCAAAGAACTCCACGACCTGAACAAGTCAGAAATGTTTTTAATGCTATGGACTCCTATTTGAAATCTCTTGAGTTTATCTTGTGATTCATGCATAGATTTTTACATACCTAACAGTGCTAATATTGCATAGCACCCCACAGCATCCTTAAAAGGATCTCATGGCATCCTGGTGGAGAATCACTGGTTTAAATAATGTGAAATGGAGTTTAACACCACTTTCAGCCTCTTTTGGACTTATTTGGTAGCTTTTTTTGATTTGTAATGTTTGTGGAAGTATTTGATGTTCACAAAGTACTTCCACATTCCAGTGCAGTCCTGTATTTTCCCTTAGGGCTTTGACTTCATTTCACATGTTTGAGTTCAGATAATTCAGGCTGCGTATACTATAAGATCTCTTTATTGTCAGTGATTACTTTGCAGTTCAAACACAGGAAAAGTATGTCACCAAGGTGCCAGTGGTGTGAAAGCCTCTGCATGTGCTATATTATTTTAACCATGTGAATTCCCTATCAACTCCAAGATCAAGATGCAGAAGTACAAGAAAGCACAAATTTGATCCAAATGCAGACAACTTCTGGATTTGCCAAACCTGTCACTAGTGATAATAAACCTCTGATGCACCTCTGATGCTGCTCATGGTTTGCAAGTGAGGAGATTATTACAGCCCATCATTTTAAAAATACATCAATAGCTCTAAATGCTCTTTGGTATCAGGTGTTTAAGAAATTAAAAAATGTGGTCACTTATTTTACTTTCTGTCAAGGCTTTTTCAGTAAAGTAAAAGGGGTTCTTTTCTTGAAAATGGGAATTCAGTTAAATTTGAGGGGCTAGTCATTATTTTACAAAAGAGTAATGGTAGTGTTTGTACACTTGTTTAGTCTCATGAACAGTCTTCTAAGGGCCTACTCATGTGTGGCTTGTGATATCAAGATCTTAAATTTTACTGTATAAATATTTTATTTTCTTCAGTTATTTGATTGTACTTCATGTGTTAAATTTCTGCTATATTTTGTAAAGCTAAACCATTATTTAGATTACCTTTAGCATAGACATAAATGATAAAACTCTTCATGTTTATATCCCAGTATATTAAAAAATGCCTTTCCAACAGCTTATCATTCACTTATGTGTAAACATAAGTTAAACAGATGTGAGTTGGTGGTGTTAGTCTTAGAGCCTAAGTAAGTTTGAATTAGACAAGCACCTTCATGGCATGCCAGAGCTCATGGGCATCATAGGATGCAGGCGGGTACATCAAGCCAACCATAACATCTTTAAAGTGTTCAGAAAGATTCTCTTTCAGGTCCGTTATCAAATCCTTGAAAAGAAATATAAGCAGGATTATTGCAGTAATCAGGAGGTATGTAGAAATCATAATCATTCCAATAATCAAAAGAAAATGATCAATTATTTTTGTTTGAAGACTATAAGCAGTGCACTGCAGCCAAAAAGGGTGTAGTGGTGTATGGTCACAGGGGACAAAATTAAAGAGAGGAGTTCTCCAGGTTGAATTGTGTTTATATGTAATACAAATTTTGTCTTAAAACTGTACATACCTTGTTTCATAGTTTCATAGTTGGTAGGGTCAGAAGGGACCTGAGCAGATCATCGAGTCTGACCCCTGGCCATGGCAGGAAAGAATGCTGGGGTCAAACGACCCCGGCTAGGTGATTATCTAGCCTCCTTTTGAATACCCCCAGGGTAGGAGTGAGCACCACTTCCCTTAGAAGTTGGTTCCAGATCCTAGCCGCCCTGACTGTGAAGTAGTGCTTCCTGATGTCTAGCCTGAATCTACTCTCAGTCAACTTAAGACCGTTATTCCTCATTACTCCCGGTAGTACTTGGGGGGAACAGGGACTCTCCCATAGCCTTCTGGTCCTCTCTCAGCCTTCTCTTGTGGAGACTGAACAGGTTCAGGTCCCATAGCCTCCGCTCATAGGGCCTGCCTTGCTGCCCCCTGATCATGCGAGTGGCCCTCCTCTGGACCTTCTCGACATTGTGCACATGCCTCCTGAAGTGCGGTGCCCAGAACTGGATGCAGTACTCCAACTGCAGCCTGACCAATGTTGCATAGAGGGGGAGGATCACCTCCTTGGACCTGCTCGTGATGCATCTGTGGATGCATGACAAGGTGTGGTTAGCCTTCCTGACCGCGTCCCCACATTGGCAGTCCATGTTCGTCTTGGAATCAATAATGATACCAAGATCCTTTTCTGCCTATGTCCTGATGAGAAGGGAGTTCCCCAGCCTGTAGGTATGCTGCTAGTTCTTCCTCCCCAGGTGCAGCACCTTGCACATGTCAGTATTGAAACCCATCCTATTCTTACCCGCCCACCCCTGTAACCTATCCAGATCTAGTTGAAGCCTGTTCCTCTTCTCTAGTGTGCCCACTTCTCCCCACATCTTAGTGTCATCTGCAAATTTGAACAAGGTGCTTTTCACCCCCTCGTCCAAGTCGTTGATGAAGATGTTGAACAGTGCGGGCCTGAGGACTGAGCCCTGGGGAACCCCACTGCCCACATCCCTCCAGGTCAAAAAAGAATCATCCACCACCACTCTCTGGGTGCGACCCTCCAGCCAATTTGTGACCCATCTGACTGTGTAGGCATTGATGCCACAGTCGCCTAATTTTTTAATGAGAATGGGGTGAGAGACAGTGTCGAAGGCCTTGCTAACATCCAGAAAGACTATGTCATTTGTTAATGACATGAGTAAGATGACTCCACACATAGGAAAGCAAACAAAAACATCAGACAAGTGAAAAATCCAGTGTTTGCTAAATGGAAAAGTCTTACACTGATAAGGAAAATTATTTGTGATAGGTTATTAAAATGGCTATAAAACCATGCTGTCCAGCCACAGAGCTCTAAGAGGGTGGCTCCCTAGGGCTACACTGGTCTTAGGAGAGCCCATCAGTTCCCCCTGGGATGTGGGCAGCCTGTCAGTGGGCAGCCCTGTGGCTTTTAATTCACATGTGCAGCTCAAATGGGCTGCATATGGGGCAATTTTAAAGTCAGAGATGTGCAGAAGTGGGAGAAGAGGGGAGCAGCGAGGCAGAGCCTCCAGCTCATTCCTCAAAGCAGACAGTTCCCAATCTGGGGAAGAGGCAGGGAGCATTGCCCTCAACTCCCCTCACCCTCCTGGACCAGAGTGGGAGGGAAGCATGCAAACATTCATTTTTGTGAGAAAATTTCTGTTGCAAGGGCCATCTTCCAGACTGATACCTGAAAGATCTTTGTCTCATAGGGGCATGTTTCCCCTTGAAGAAATTGATTTAAAGCTTGTACTCTTGTAGTTCCTAGTGGGAGAGTGTTGATTCTCCCATTAAAAATGTGCCTGTATGTGGCCTTTGAATGGCAAAAAAGCTATTCTAGGTGAGGAGCAGTATCAGAGAAATGTTTGTCATTCCTCACCAGCAGTTTACCTTGACTATTTTTTGAATGGTTTTCCATTGATGAGCTTACCTTTTTGTATTTATCACAGTATTTCTTCAATATTTGATGGTCTGTTTTCTCTTGGGTGCCTGCACCTGCATCCTATTAAGACTAATAAGACTTATGTGTACACTGAAGATCAGTAGTCACCAACTGGTAGATCGTGATTGATCGGTCGATTGTGGAGCCTCTGACAGGCAATTTCAGTCTCAGTCCTAGGGTTACCATACGTCTGGGTTTTCCTGGACATACCTTCATTTTTAGCACCCTGTTCCCATGTCCAGGTGGGTTTTTTAAATGTGAGCAAATGCCTGGGTTTTTGCTTTGCCTCTGCTTTCCTGGGATGGTTGCTTGGGGCTCGGAATAGAGAGGAAGGTGATTGGCTGTCAGGGGTTATGTGGTCTGCATGCAGGCCCCAGCAACTGCTCCCAGGTAAGAGACACAAATTGTGTGTCTGTGTGTGCACACGCTGCATGGACAGCAGGGCTGGGGGAGACAGGGGCTGTGGGTTGGGAGTGACGGGCATTGGCAGTGCTGGGGGGGCAGGGAGCTATGGGTCAGGAGTGAGGGACACTGGCTAGGCTGGGGGGTAGGGGCAGGGGCAGTGGGTCGGGAATAAGGGGCACTGGCAGGGCTGGGGAGGGGCAGGGATATCACTGTCCCCCCACCCCCATTTCCCTCCTCCCAGCTACAGATGTCCTCATTCTTGGTACTGGAAATATGGCATAGGCCATGGAATGGGGTGGGCCATCCGGGCCATGGCCCGTCCAACTTTTAGCATGTTAATTTAGCTAGCTATGCAGTTAAAAAAATATCTTTACAGTTTTAACTGGAATGACAATTGCATATTTGTAGGTTATATAATGTGCTAAAAGTTGGTCAGGCCATGGCCCAGGTGGCCCACCCCATTCCGTGGCCTATAAAATATGGGAACCCTACAGTCCCCCCTCTCCTTTTTTTTTTCAAGATAAAGTTAGGCAGAAAACAGGAGTGGGCAAAATGGCTGATCCAGCTGGTAGTCGGACTCCATTTCCCAGCAGCCCCTGCCCTCATGGATTGGGCTGGTCTGCATGGAGACCATAGGCAAACCTGTGTGGGAAAGCTCAGGCTGGGGTTGCCATGGAGACCAGCCTGAGCTGCGCTGGCAGTGTGCATGGCAGGGGGCTGCTCTGGAGCCACTGGGAACCTGGGATGCAGGCAGCTTGCTCCAGAGCCAGGGCAAAGACACAGTCTGTAGCCTGCACGCTCTGGGCAGGGTGCACAGGCAGGGGATTGTGGCTCTGCCTCTGCTCCAGACAAGGCTGTCACCGCTGCAAAGAGCTGGGTCAGAGCCACAATCCCCTGCCTGCGTGCCCCTGCCTGGAGAGTTCAGGGTATAGGTTGCGGCTCTGCCTTGGCCCATCTGCAAGACTGCATCTGACTAGCTGTTTCAAACTACAACCGGAACTTCAAGACACTGGCAGATGGCATAATGTGCAGTCACAGGTGTCACACTAACACACGGTAAGTAAGGAAAATGTACAATTACATATATTAAGCACTTGATCTCAGCTTTATACAACATAAATATAAATATAAACTGGTATTTCTACATTTTCTTTGGGGTAGACCCTGGGTTGCACTTTAACTGAAAAAGTGATCTTGTGCTTAAAAAGGTCGGAGACCGCTGCTGTAAATGTACACGTCTCCCCAGCTGATGTTTACAATGCTCAGACACACAAAATACTGAAGGGGAGAAATTATTTTAGAAAGGATCACATGTTTTTTGCGGAAAAACTTCAGCTGATAGCCTTCCACTGTGGAAACTACATGCCGCTGCTTTGCGTGCTTTATATGATTTTCTTTAGGAATGCAATGTTCTTTTAAAGATAAATTATCAGCTTTTCCCAAATAGAAAAACTCAAAACATTTTGTATTTCATGTGTATTGGCTTCTTTTCTTTTCTTTTTTTTCTTTTTTTTTTGAAAGTTATGTTGTAGATACTTGTTCAGTTGGCTTTTTGGTGGGAGTGGGGAGTGTGTTGCTCAAAAGATGAAGTGCTAAACAGGACTTTTGTAGGTAGCTGGCAAGTGAAGTTCCTGTTAGTGCTGGTGGGATTTTGTAGTACTGATTATAGATTAGGGAACCTATGGTTCTATATAGGCATCTTTTATTATTATTATTTAAATTAAAAATAATTTTACTGATGCAAGGTATATACAATTACAATTCACAGAATTTCAGCTGGTTGGTGACCCTTCATGTTCATGAGAGATGGGTCTGAACTTGAGCTATATAAAAAGCTTATAACTCAACATTTCCTAGAGCCATGTTCAGTCTTGAATCTCAACACTAGTATCTTTGCTATTTTCAAATCAGCTTTTCAAACTCAGAATCATAGAAGGAAAGAACTGGAAAGGACCTGTAAGATCATCACGTCTGGTCCGCTGCCATGGGCAGGAAGTTATTAGGCTCAGATGAACTCTACAAGGTCCTGTCCAGCCTCATCTTGAATACCTCCAAAGAGGGTGACCGCATCACCTCTGCTGGGAGTGTGCTCCAGACTCCGGTGACCCTTATAGAGAAGAAGTTTTTCCTTATATCCAACCTGAATTTACCCTCTATTAGTTTTATGTCCATTGGTCCTCATCCTCCCTTGAGGTGCCCTCCTGGATGGTTACTCTCCTAGTTCTTGATGCTCTCCCCTGACGTACTTGTAGGCATCTATCAAATCACTTCTCAGCCTTCTCTTCCGCAGGCTGAACAGGCTCAGTTCATAGATTCATAGATGTTAGGGTCAGAAGGGACCTCAATAGATCATCGAGTCCGACCCCCTGCATTGGTCTTCCTACCCAGGTGAAGGACCTTACACTTCTCCCTGTTAAACCTCATCTGATTTCATTCC